TACTCTGCTGTAAAAGTACTTTTCAGGTGTCTGTACTTTATCGGAGTGTTTTTCTTTAGAAAATTTTACTTCACAACATTCCAAAGCATAATATTGTACTTTTTACTGCACTACGTTTCATATTAAATATCATTTAATACTTAATTACATTAGAAATCTATTACTTTTTTTCTTTTACTCAAGTAAAAGTAATTGAAAGATTTACTTGAGTACAAGAAAGTACTACATTTTTAATGTTCTTAAGTATGAAAGGTAAAACAAACAACTTTTATTTATGAAATGTAGTGCAGTAAAAAGTAAGACATTATGCTTTGGAATGTAGTGAAGTAAAAGTTTTCCAAAGAAAAACACTGATAAACTACAGATAATTTTAAATTTACTTGAGTAAAGTAAAAATACTTCACTACTGTCCGCCTCTAATTGTAGTGATTTAATTTAAAATAAAAAGTGTTTTTATTTGCTTTCGGTACGTTTTGCGAGCTTGTTTCTGCAAACAGAAAATAAAGGTAACTGCAACCGTTTATCTTAAAATTATGGCGCTTTATTTCTCACGATTCGAACTTTTCTCAGAATTGCATGTTTATAACCTCACAGTTGAAAGTTTACATCTCACAATTCCGTTTTTTCCTCACAACCTGAATTTGGAATTCTGAGAAAGAAAGTCAGAAGTGCAAGTGTAAACTCAGAATTTTGAGGGCAAAACAAAAATTGCGAAATAAATTCAAAATTCAGAGAAGAGAAAAAAAAAAGACATTTGCGACAAGTAAGAATCTTGAGGGAAAAGTCAGAATTTCAAGTTTATAACATATATACTTGCAATTCTAAGGGAAAAAAAACTGAATTGTGAAATAGTCAATTACCTTTTTAATATTTTTACTCACGGGCGCAAAAAAGCTTCAAGTAGATTACATTACTATAATAATTCTAAACAGCCAATTACATACACAGCTTAAGATTTATTGTTCAGAACACAACAGTACAAAAGTTTTTTTTTTTTTTTTTTACATCACAAATTTGATACATGCAGTACTTCTGCAAAACTGACACTAGAGAAATTTCAAGAATGACAGCCAAGACTGCGTGAGCCAAGCAGATCACTACAGCCGTAATGACTACGGTAACAAGTTCATGAAAAGACCAAAAACAACATTCAATCCGACAACTGCATGACGGAATATATACAAATCCAAGGGATTCTACGCAGAATCTTGAGGGAAAAGTCAGAATTTTAAGTTTATAACATATATACTTGCAATTCTAAGGAAAAAAAACTGAATTGTGAAATAGTCACAATTACCTTTTTGATATTTTTACTCACGGGCGCAAAAAAGCTTCTTTAAGTAGAGATTACATTACTATAATAATTCTAAACAGCCAATTACATACACATCTTAAGATTTATTGTTCAGAACATAATACAAAAGTTTTATTTTTTTACATCACAAATTCGATACATGCAGTACTTCTGCAAAACTGACACTAGAGAAATTTCAA